TAACATCTGTTTTTGATGTCAAACTAAAAATACTCCAAAAGTCTACATCTTTCTTGGTCCAATAGCTGAGCAATAAATATAATAGAAAAAAAATCGCTCCCCTTTGTATTTTGCCAAATTCATACTGGTCTTGTCTAAAACAAAGAAACATCATAGAAATTTAGAAAATTTAAAATTTTAATATTACTTTAAATTACAATGTATTTTCCTGATCAGTTTATCGTTAACAATGATTCAAATAATTATAGTTTTAAAAATAAATTTACTATATTTAACTGAATTTCCCCTCCACTCAACTCATGGCCAGCAATGTCATCAGCTTAAGCCCAGGTCTCCTAGACCACTTGGCTGGTTCCACAAACTATTTTAATGACACTAAGGGAAAAGGGAATGGGTTACCAGAGAGAATGCTTTGGTTTTAACTAACATTTCATTCAGTGGAATGGAAAAAAAAATGTGGGAAAATGCAGAAAGTACATAAACTTTGAATAAAGATTACCATCTTTGAAAGCTTTTTTTTTAATGTTTATTAAGAACCTAGAATAAAAAAGATACTAAGTCCCCTTCTTTCTAACTTAGCAAGAACACCTTTACACATTCTTGGTCCTGTCTCTGTTCTCAAATAGTTCTTCCGAATATTTTTAAAGAGTACGGACACAAAGTAAACATTGCTTCCAAGATCCAAATTCTATCAGATTGTTATATGTGTTTGCTTCATCAGTCATTTTTTAACGTCAGCTAAAAGGCATATCTGAGTGACGGACACAAGAAAGAGCATTTCAGTTCAAGCACTGCCACAGCCCCACAATGGCTACACCAAAGTAGGAAAAGGTAGCTTTTATACTTCCAGATACTTTATTGACAATGATTGGAAGGAACAACTTTTATAGCTTCAAATGTATTTTCAGTTCTCCAGAGAACACTACCACTTGGTAGAAATGAGAGGACAGCCCTTACAAAAGGGGGACTTCAGGGTGGAAAGATAGTAACTTCTTTCCAAATTTGAAGTTTATTTTTTTAACCAACTTTTTTATTTTGAAACAGTTTTAGATTTTTTTAAGTGCAAAAATACACAGAGTTCCCATATACCCATGCCCAGTTTTCCCTATTATTAACATCGTATACTACTAGTATGTTACATTTGTCAGAGTTGATGAGCTAATATTGACACAGTATTATTAGCTAAATTTTATTCAAATTTAGTTTTTCTCTAATGTCCTTTTTCTGTTCCAGGATACTACATTACCTTTAATCATCATAGCTCCCTAGGTGGTGGGTTTCTAAGACTTTCTTTATGTTGACCTGAGTTTTGAGGAGTGCTGGCAAGGTATTTTGTTGAATGTCCCACCATTGGAATTTATCTGATGTTTTCCTCTTGGTTAGACTGGGGTTATGGCTTTAGAGGAAGAAGATCACAATGCTGCCCTTCTCATCACATCACACCAAGGGTGCATACTATCAACATTACTTTGCACTGTTGATGTTACCCTTCATCTCCTCACTGAGGTGCTGTTTGTCAAGTTTCTCCAATGTAAAATTGCACACACACACACACACCCCTCTCCATACTGTCCCCTTGGGAAAGAAGTCACTATGTGTAGGCCACACTTAAGGAGAGAGGAGTGATGCCTCACTTCCTTGAGGACAGAGTATCTACAGAACTTGGACTTCTGCACCATGGATTTGTCCATTCTCCTCCATTTGTTTATATATATATATATATATTGGGCTCAGATATTTATTTTATACTTTACATTATCCAAAGCTATTTTCTTTACTTTGTTGTCCAGCATTGGCCATTAGGCGTTCTTTCACATGGCTCCCTGGATCTTTGACGTGCACCCAAGTTGCAGGTTGTAGCTGCTGTTTGAGCATTTCCTTATGTTCTGGCCCTACAAGATGCTCCAGGCTCATCTTATATATTTCTTGTCCCAGGTCCTACCCATTTCTCCAAGAAGCCCTGGTTTCTTTATTGGAGAATGGCCGTAGAAACCAAGATCGGGAACCTAGTGTGTGTTCATGCTCCTAACCTTTCTAACTGACAAGCAAGGAAATACGTGTGTATGCAAACCCTTGGAAACACCATCTCTATACTTATTTCCATGTGCAACCATCCATAGCTACTAGTGTATTAAATATGAGTTCATAGTGATGTCTCTAGTTCTAATCCATTTCCACATGCATTTTTCTAGCCACTTCCCCTTCCTCATCTATAACCTTGCACTTCAACAGTGAGACGGCCAGCTCCCACCATCTGCCATTCATTTACTTAATTGTTCAATTCTAGCATACAGGTATAGTGATACCAAAATTGTTAAACTGTAGACCCCTGGGAAACAACTTTACCAACTGCGGTACTGTGTGCAGTTTCCTTTGCCTTTAGTATTATATATTCCACACATTTCCAAAGTTATCTAGGTCAGTGTCCCTTACCCCTACCCCTTCAGGGAGGTTGTTTCACACACTTTCATATAATTAGATTGTTTTGTCACATTTTGTATTCCACGCTGGGTTCCTCTGACATCCTAAGTGATTATTTATTTATACAGAATAAAACAACATGAGTTTATTCTGGATAAAGGGTGTGGTGGGGGTAAGAAGGGGAGAAGCCACTGATGGAACTTGAAGGGAAATGAACCAATTTAGAGGTTACTTAAGTTTCTGTCTAAAATAGGCTTAAAAGAGAAATTTATTGAAAATTACCACAATTCATTTATTTTTTAAATGTATTGAAATCTTTGCATACAGTAAGGGACATAGTAAAGATCAAATGTAAGAAATATAGCTCTTTTTTACAATTAGACATGGATTTTTCTAGGAGCTTTCAGTAAGTTTATTCAATTTTCCTACTTGTAAAATAAGAATAAAAAGTTTCTCATCTAGGACTAAGAATTTATGATAGGTACACTGATAGTATTCTGCATCCAGAGGTAAAAATGTAACAACTATTTAAGTTTTAATGAAAGGAAATACGCTCTACCCAGTTACATTTTTCACATAATTGTGAAATTTTATATTTTCACACAATTATATTCATAAAACATTGCAACCCTGATAATTACTATTCACTCATATCACTAAGGAATTATTTCTGTCTAGAAATTTGAGATCCTTTGGGCATTTTAAAGTCCTTAAAGTATAGAAAGTTACCAGTATATACCTAGATTTATTCTTAAGCAAGTGGGAGAATTTACAAAGGTTTGGTGGCTGTTCATGGAAGATAATCTTAAATAAAATCCCCCCCCAAAAAAAGGAGGAGAAAAAACATATTTTGAGGATTAAAAAAACACAAAACAACTTATTATCCTTGTACAACTGCATAAATGCCATGTCTGTACTAAAAAATAACCACAAACTTCCAAGGATACAGTTTAAACTCCTGCTGTGATCATGCATTTTATTAAATTATCAGAATTTATCAAGAATCAATTCACCAAGTCAGCCTTTGCAGGAGCAGACTGTGCCCAAGGACCTCTTTAGTTCTTATGGAAGCCAGCATTTATTCATTCCTAGTCAACACTTTACATGTAATGCAGTTCACAAGTCTACTCTCTTTGCAGTGAGCACTGAGCAGACAGACATGTTTGAGGCCATTAATGAGTATTTCTTCCCAATACTGTCAATGGTTTCTTATTCCCCATTATTCAATTCCAAAAATAGTATCTGTGAATATAAAAACTACAATTTCCTAGTTAAGTATTCAGAGACAATATAGTTAAATCTTACTGAAAACCCATCCTTAATAAGTTCAAAACAACTTTGAAGTTACAATAAGAACACCTGTTTCTTTCCCCTCCTAGTCTCCCAAGGACATCCAATAAGTTATTCTACAAATAAATCACAATGCTTTGTACTGATGTAAGTTTGTACCAACCCTGCAATTTCCCAAAGGCTGCCCCAGACTCCCGCAGAAATAAGACAGGAAGTGAATGCATTCCAAGCAGGGGCAGAAGACCAGAGCGGGAGGCAAGATTAGAGGCAAGGAATGGGATAATTAGAGCTCAAAGTCAAACTGATGCTTTAAAAAAATCTAAGAGGCTTTTTGGGGGGTGGCTGGAGAGAGATGTAAGCAGTTTGCCGAGACCACTGTCTCCATGAGGGGAGTCCAATGCTACAAAAGAAGGCGCTTAAACAAGCTCACGGAGATCAATGGTCCCCCAGCCTCGCTCTGCAGGAACTACCATATTGATGTGTAGTACGTTAGCACAAAGAAATAGTTAAAATAATGCGGGCTCTATAAAGTTTGATTTTAAAATTCTCATTCTCAAAATCCTGAACAACCGTTGGAGGAAGGGCAAAAAGAACAGAACAAATGGCTCCCTAACCTAAATACATCCCCTGGAAATCGATGCCTGTCAGTTTCTTCTCCCCACACTAAATCCGGGGTCTCCCGGGTTTCAAATACTATGACTCACGGCCAAGGTGAGTGTGCACTGTCAGCAGGACTGTCACACCCTCACAAACAGACCGTTTGAAGGCGTGGGAGGTTCGCATATAAAGTCCGGGAGGCAGAGCTGCCCAGAGACAGGTGCCGTGAGCAAGTCACAAAGCAGAGCTGGCTGTTTGGAGGCACTTCTCACTGACCCAGCTTGGCAGCGGTCCACTCCCTCAGGGGAACGCGGGAGCCCTGAGGAAATCTGTACTCAGAGACACGCACCACTCCCATCCACAGCACTGGGAGTCGCCAGCAGAGATCTTAACAGAGGGTGAGGCTGGGGATGTAAGCATGAGGCTTGCCCTTTAATTCTCCTAACTCAGAAATACGGGCACTTAATACAGTAAGCTCTTCGCCCTGACTGAAGGGAAGTAAACCTATTAAGAGCTGAGCATGCTTGGGAATTTACCTGCTTCGCTGTGGGTCTAAGGATTGGAGGCTGACTGGGCGATGCCACAGATGGAGAGGCAACCTTTGCAGAGTTGGTCCCCTGTCTGAGAGCGCTCCTGCAAAGGCTCATCTCCCAGCGCGGGAGATCAACAGGCAGGGGCTGCGGGGTACCTACCTGCCACTCTGGTCTGAGGTCCATGTGACTGATCGCCCCTGGGGTTTGGTTCTGTACCGTATCCTTATGGCATGAGGAAAAGCCGTAGCTGTCTGAGCCCCTGTCTTCCTGATCTGCAAGCTCCACGTGTCAGTGTCAAACAGGAGTTCCCCACAGCCAGGCGCCAGGCTGCACCGAGCATAACAGTCTAACTGCTCCCTCCAACGATCTGCAGGCAGAGTCACAAGTTCACGTACAATCTGATTCCTGAGCTCAGAAACAACCGTGAGCTTGGGAGACCTTGTAAATTTTTCAATACCTGGCACGGCAGCAACATCCACCTCCTCAACCCTTAACACAGATAAATCACAGCAGTCCAACACCAGCAAAAAATCCTCACTCCCATGATTCCCTGTGTCACAGCAGTGCTTTGAGCTAGAAATCCCATAAGTCTGTTCCTGGTTGTCATGGTTACCATCTTTACCAGAAGTATCTCTTTCACCTTTACCACAAATTGCAAAATCACTGTATCCCATCTGAGACAAGGAGGTCCTTGTATCTGCCACAGGGACGTGGCAGGGTTCCGGCTTCCTAAACTCGCAGGCTTCGTTTGACCCTGATCGGCAGGCTTCCTCGGTGGAACCACTCTTCTTCCTGGATCTGTTTCCAGACTCCAAGAAAAGCACTAAGGTGCCATCGATGATTTGACTTTCAAAATCCACATCTAAATCCAGTACATAGTGCTTCACAAGTATGTGGCTGGTGTTGGCCATGAGGGGCAGGTCATCTCGAGAAGGGTCCAGCTTTATGTCCATGGTGTGGGTTGTTGAGAGCTTTGTTAAACTCTCAGAAGGGGCTTCCTATCTGCCTTACTCATTCGGAACTGTAAACGGCTGTCTGTCCAAAAAAAACACACAAAACACCCTGATTCACAAATGATGGTTCCACAGCCTTCCGTCCCCTGCCAAAGAAGAAAAACACAATTAGACAGAATTCCGAGACCCTAAATGCTCCTGTAGCCACTGCTCCTTCAAAATGACTACCTTCTTCAATGATCCCCCAATGTGGTAGAAGCTCATGGCAAGCAGGCCGATGAATCTTTGTGACTGGCATCAAAGAAAGCTGCATTATGGGTTTCTAAAAATATTCCAATTACCAATGGAATGGAAGGGGCTTCCACAGAGCCAGAAGAATCCTGCTCCAGACTTGAATAGTCCTTGTTTTGTAATAAAAGAGCAATTGTTATGCAAAAGCATAACTGAGCATCACTGTACCTCTTGTTTTAAAATATATTAAATGTATCATTTCTAATTTTGTGCATCAAAAGATAAGTGATTGTTTCTCTGCTGTGATTCTAAGTAACAAATGTGAATGAAGGCTAAATGGCCTCATACATTTTATTCTTTGAGAGTAATAATTTAATACATATAATGCAACTCCAGGGATTAATGTACTTTTCACATTAGGACCACTCTCATATCAGCACTTCCAGTAAATTACAGGAAAATGAGCCAATTTACCAGGAGTGCATTCTAAGTATTCCTCTGAGATTTGTTCATGGAGATTTTTCAAATTTATAGTTAAATACTCAAGGTATATCATTACATCTTAATAGCTGAAAACCCATTAACATTCTGGAGAATAGCCTTCTTGTGGCAAACAAAAAGGTCTTCTCATTTGAAAAAAAAAAAAGTATGCAAATACCTATAAAAAAGGAAGGAGAGAAATTAAAATGTAGAAACAGATGTTGCAATAAAATGCCCAAGTTCTTCATAAAAGTTCTGAATCAAAATGTATTCTTATTTTATTATAGCAATCCAGTTAAAAAATTTGAAATTATTTCAGTCCCTGTTGTGTACCTAATTTGTTTCAGCATAGGCTGTTTATTATTATTCTTTTACCAAAAGTGGAAAAATAAAAACTCTAGCAGAGTAGGTATATTTAAAATGATTTTTGTATTTATAACTATCAGGAGGTATTTTTTTATCAACTACAAAAATTACTTGCTTGACTTTTCAAGTAAAACTGAGCCTTGCCTTGTTTATTCTGTTTAACTCCTCCTCACTTCCCTTCGGACCTTCTTCATGTCTGCTAGACTCTCATTTCCCTCCCCTCCAGAGTCTCACTCCAGCCATCAACGCCTTTGACTTTTCATTGTCCACCTCTCCACAGGCCATTCCCTCGTGAAAATCTCGCCCAGCCTTAAAAGATCTGGCTTCCTGCAGCCTTGCAAAATCTGTTTCCATGCGATTTTTCCGGTCATGGAGACCACACTTCTTTTGCATCCTTGACCTGTAGCCAAGGGCCTGCTCAACACAGTGCTCCCTGAAGAGGATCCCACACCTCCTTGCTTCCTGGACTAAGCAATGTGCCATAACTGGAGTGCTCCTGGCTTCCACCTCCCATATCCACCTCCCAAATTCTTTTCTCCCTCCACAACCAGTTCAAGTGCAATCCCCTCCCAAAATCCCACCCTGCTCCCTGCTATTCCTCTCCCTACCAAACTGTACATATTAACATACATTTTGACTTTCAGGAGTAATAGAAATTGAGAGAAATCAGAGATGCAAAGAAAAACCTGAGATTACTTCATGGAAATGCTGGTACTTCCCTTGGTCCTGAAAAGTCAATAGGCCAAGGAAGTAGGCCAGAGTGTTTTTTCTTTGCTTCATGAAAGCGACTGAACTTGTGACCCAAAGAATAATAATCTATAATAATAAAAGCGTAATATGCAAGTCGACCGAACGGCCAAACAGCAGAACGACTATCTGGACGACCACACAATGACAAACATTGGCGCCAGGCCAGCCAAGGCAGGTGCAGTGCGATTGGTCAGGAGCCCCGCCATTGCCCCATGATTGCCCGGCAGAAGGAGGCCCAGACCCCTGGCCGGTGCTGCTGTGGTGGATGGGCTGGGCCTCCCTCTGCTGGGCCATGGATCACGGGGACTGCGAGAGGGCACAGGCCAGGCTGAGGGACCCCCTCGTCCCCCGAGTGCACCGGGCCTCTAGCCTTCAATAAAGCCATTGGCTATGCCTATGTAATGAAAAACATGGATGTTAAAAATTCATCCTGCTGGCATTTGGGGCTGCTACCATGTAGTATTTTGTTGGTTGAACTCTTTAAAAAATGTTCAATAAAATAGAAATCCTGAATACACACACACATACACACACACACACACACACACACACACACACGGAAAATCTGAATCAGCTGAGATAGGATTAACTTAGTAGCTATCTAAACTATCATATTTACAGAAGTATGGTTGAGCATTTGTAATAGTACTGACATAACCATTCATTGTTCAACCCTAACAGATTCCTTCGTTTATTTCTGAAAATTAATATAACTTAAGAATAAAATATATTCCATAGAGCAGTTTTCACCACTCTGTCCCTAGTGGCAAAGAACAAGCCTACCTTTGAGTTCTATCTATCCATGCCTGTCAACATCGTCTTGTTTGCCATCCTAACTGGCAATCCTTTGGTTCTCTTCAGTGGATTCTTGATTATATTCCCCATAGATGCAATTCTAAACCTTCTTTTAATTTTCCAATTCCATGCCTGCTGAATCATTCTCAGATAATTATGTGGCCTCCTACTTTACTGAGATGATTTTGAATTTCTGACACTCCATCATGCCTCAAAGATCTCTAGTTCTGCACAACTATTGCTTTCTGCTGATTCAGAGGAAACAATAGCCCTTCTCACCAAAGCTAGTTCCCCTCCCCTGGAATCCCAGCTTCTGGGGTGTGAGAGGGCCAAATAAATAGCACTCTTCTTCAACTTCTGAATTCTAATCATACTGAGAAATGAGATGAGGAGAGAGACCAAAATATCACCAGGTTTACTGATGAAGGCTAAACTAAGTGATATGGTTTAGCGTGGGAGCCAAAGACACCTGAAAACCGAAGCCCCAAATTTGATAGATTTACCCGTAGGGTCATGGGCAATGCTGGCTCAGGTCAAAGCTCCCAGACAGGAGGTACCCTCTCGGTAAGGCAGAGGGAGAAGTAAGGACAACAGCCCTCTGTGGTTAGGATTGATGTCCAAAAGCAAATTTAAGGAGCTGAGCTGAGCAGAGCACACCCAGTTCCTTCTTCCCAAACTTACCAGAATGGCGCTCTACGTCTTTGCAGGTAGAAGTGACCAAGGAATGTTAGAGTAATTAAGAGGAAAACAGGAAAGGAAACATCAGATATGGGAAAGAAGTGTTCCCGCCAACATCACCCTCTCCCATGAATTTGGAATCTTGTTTCATTTGACATTTTTTCTCTTGCCTACATTTTGTACTTTTCCATGTCTCTATCCTATTCCCAATGTTTCAACCACCCCCAGGCTGCCATCTTTAAAAACATACACTGCAATATCTATATATAAAAGTATTATGTTGTGCACCTTACACTAATAGAATGTTATATGTCAATTATATTTCAATACAACTGGAAAAAAGAAAAACATAAAAAACTATATTTGGCAAAAAAACCCAACCAAACAAAAAAAACTATATTTGGCCCTGTTGCCCATTTGACTAGTGTTAATTTCATTGAACTTAGGAACTGAAAAATTCCTTAGGACTCTCTTAGTCCAACTCTCTAGTTTAACAAATGAAGACAATGAGGCCCAGGGAGGAAAGGAAATTTGTGCAAGGTCATCCATTTCCTTTGCTTTTCCACTGGCTGATGCTTTTCCTTGGAATTCTCATCTCTAGCTCTCATGGCCATTTCCTTCACATTGGCCAAGTCATACATTGAACGTCACCTCCTAAGACTTGTCCATATCTCCATTCTACCTTTGTAAATCTTCTTTAAGTTGTATGGACTAGAATCAATCTGTACTGAAATGGCTTTGGGGAAAAGAGAATTTTTAAACCAGCCCCATCGCCTTTGCATGTTTTCTACCTAAGTTATGTATAATGTGTAAGTCTAGTATAATGTGTTGCTTATTACACCTATTTTGTACTTGCCTTAGATTCATGAGTGACCCAAATCTCCCTTTTCTGCAACCATAACTCTCACTGACATCAATCAGGGTCACAGTCCCAAATTTAGGGATGAACTGAACTGACTGTGGTTGCAAACGCGTGTATGTGGCCACGTTGAAAGGCTTCTCTCATCAAATAGCAACCATATTTCTAAGCAGTCTGTTGACTTCAGCACTTTTTGCTATTATTGTGCTCCAATTTAGAATGCCAGCCCGTCTCACTGGAGCATTTTTCCATTCTCTGTCATAAACCATAGCATATAAAATTCCCCCTCTATCAAGCCCGATGGTAAGTTTCCAGTGGCTAACCACTGCGGCCTCTGAAATGTGGCGTCTGTTTAAATGATGCCTCAGGAACACCATTAAAGGCTTCGAAAAGCAATATTTAATGTGCAGCAATATTTTTCTTAAGAAAGGAAGGGAGTAGGAAGAGGAACAAATACTAGACAGAGCAATGGCACAGCAAAAAAAACTTCCCTACCCCCTTCAATCACCCATACAGAAATGCACACACTCAGAAACGTGTGAAATGGCCTCTGAAGAGCCATTCTGGGTCCCTGCGAAGAAAATCATTTCCTTCTCCTTTCAAGCTAATAAAGCGATGTGAATCATTGTCAGGGCCCTAACTCATCCTGCCTCATTTTATAGTTACTTCCCTCTTCCACTGGTCTAGAAAAAACTTGGGACTCCTCACTCCCCTTTGTGTTCATGGCCATGTTAAGTAGAGTACACTGAACAGAGTAGGTGCCCAATAAATATACACAGAATCGACATCTAAGGGCATTTGTCATTTCAATGTCTAGTTATTTACAGAACAGAGATTCAAGCCGGCACAGTTTCTAGTAGAAAGTTATTACTTAACAAACATCTTCCTCCAGACAGCTCTCATTTTTATTTCATAGGATATATCAGTACCTGTACCTCTTTATCCCACATCTGTTTTGTTTTAAGCAATGCGGGAGAAAAGGAGACA